CAATCCCTCTTATGGAGCGACACTCACCTCACTGTGCTTGCCAGAGACACGACCAAGCTGCTTGTCACATTCCTCCACATCTGCATGCACAAAGTAAAAATTCATCAGGGGACCCACCAATCACAACACTCCCCTCACAACAGCAACCGTCCAGCTCACCTTCTTATTAGGGCATAACCCTTTCTTCCTCCATCTCTCCAGGGTCTGCTCAGAACACTGCTCTGCATCTGCAACAAAGCAAAAAGGCAACCGGAACTGGAAGTGCCGCACAGAGTGTCTGAGCAATCACCATTCCAGTACCTCACTGTCACACTCTACACACTACCACTGTGAATATGCACCAACAAGGCAGTTCCAGCCTCAAAAACAAAGGCGCACACACACACAATAGGCACAAACATAGAGAAAAACCCTACGCAAAAGGAACTCGTGATTTGGACCATTGCTGTGTGCTATCTATCTAGGGCATTTTGCAACTCAACTTTTACAGCATTGCTTAGCTTGTCTCACCTATCTTCTACATACCTGCACATGCGTTGCTTCTCTGCTGCTCTTTCTTTTGAGGTCAGAGAACAGACAGAGGGTTCTGGAGCAGAACTGAGGCCTCAGGAAGGGGGTCTGCAGAGACTACAGGGGTCCTACCAAGGTCAAAGGGCCCAGAAAGAGCTGGAGCACAAAAGRAAGCACTCAAAGAACACTCCAAAGTAAAACAAAGGTGTTTCTGGTGTTTCTGGGGCTCTGCAGGACAGAAAGAACTGGACAGCACAATAATAAKCTCCAGGGAAATCTAGCGCAGATTAAACACATGTTCTGKAGAGCAGAGAGCAATTAAGGGAAGCCCGAGAGCAACGACTAGGTTCCACCTGGGACAAGGAGTAACCCAGCCCCAGCGGGCACCCTGCCCTTCCCCGCCCCCCCAACAGGGCTTCTTCCCCAGGGTGTCACTCTCACCCACCACATCCCAGCCCCACCGCCTTTACCCCAGAGCAGTTGTCCCATCCCAGCACGCCCTGAGCGACCGCGTGGCCCGGGACCCCCACCTCACACGGCATCCCCAGCCCCGAGCGTGCCCCATGGCCCTGCTCACCTCCTCCRGCGCCAGACCCAGCAGCAGCGCCTGCCTCGCAGCACAGCCCAGCGCGAGCTGCCCTCAACGGCCGTCCCGGGCGCAGCTCGTGCCCGCCCCCCACAGCTGCCGCTCGTCCCGGCCCCGGGGCCCGCAGCTGCCGCCCATCACCCAGCGGGCCGG